CAAATATTCAGCCTTGTGGACATAAGCTGACTTTGGGGCTCACAAGTGGTTATTATCCCAATTATAGATAGGAAAATAAGAATTTGTGTGGGTTGGACTGAGATCAGATGATCATGTCAAATTTAGGTTCAGGTCTGCTATCCCTCCTTTTTTTTTTTTAAACTTTGGTGTAACCTGGTCTTTCTCTCCACGTCGTCCTCAGATTACTTCAAGTGCTGCTGTCTCCCTTCTCCCCGAATCACATACAGCAGTCTCTCTTTCACAGGAAAGGTGAGCACACGTCAAGCTCTCAGCTAGAATACAGACAGTTCTTGCTCAAACCAGGAGTTGGTTTTCTCCTGTGACGTGACCTGACATCCAAACCTCAGTTTCTGTCTTCTTAATTTGATGTTTCCATTAGGGATGCGCTGATAATACAATGATACTTATGATGGCAGTGGCTGATGATAACCTGTTGTCACACCAGTTTGGTGTTGGCTACATGTTCAGTCAGTGTGGTGAAGACCTGACACACAGTTCAGCTATTTTTAATCAGAAATATTGTCAGAAAAATGGGCACAGGGGGCATTTTAAATACCTGTGTTTGCCTCCATCAATCAAAAGTGGTTAATCCCTGACTTCCATTAATCCATGCTTAACATTTTCTCCTTTTTTGATTTCTTTAGTGTCATGTTTCAAATATTTTAATATTTTTTTTGCCATTTTCAGGTGATGACAAAGGAAGCTGTTTCTCCTTCTTGCGTTTCATTGACGTGTCACCAGCTGAACTGTCCAATCTTATCCTCCAAGGCACCTTAGTAAGGTAGGCATCAAATAGGCTTTAGACTGCTCTAAATGCTCTGTTTCAGACGGATATTTTTACTCTTAGCTAAGTAAGATATCAGTGAGAGTGGATATATATGACCTTATGTGACCTTATATGGTCATCTTAAGCACAGCTCCATCCACCTGCTGTTAAATCCTTTTGTTTGTGAAGATTTGGGAATTAAGTTGGCTTAAACAGTGGGTTGCCTTAAAGCCAAAGGGGGTAAGCAAAATTACTGTAGTCCAATTTTAAACGTTGTAAATCCACCTTAATTGAGGCTGAGCTTATGTATCACTTAAACCCATTTCTACAGTTTTTTTCCCCCATTTGTAACTTGAGTCTTCATTTCCTGCCTTTACAGGTGGTTAGCCCTTTTTCTGTCTCTGAAAGCTGCATACCGGCTCCATCATCAGCGCCTGTTCGACCTTGAAGAACAGGGCCAGGAGGAAGCCGGAGACGGGGAGGCTTGCAGAGGAAAGTTACAGCCAGGGATTAAGTGTCTGTCTCGCAAGGACCTGATTCTGTGGCTGAACAGACCCATTTCCTTCGCCAACATGCACAACAGTCCTGTTTTGCAGGTAAGAAACATCAAGGTGCATGCATGCTGATGGCAAGCTATATGCAAGAAATTCCTGAGTAGCCATCTGCAGTGCACATTAATGCGTGGCAGAAATGAGAAATGCCAGTAAAGGATCCATGTCCTGCTGACAGTGCTGAAATTCTCTCCAGAGCATCAGCCGGTGTTTGGCCACACATCATGCTCTCTGCCCCAAGCTTCCTCTCCGTCCACAGGGACGCAATGTGGAACCTAATCCCTTTGTAGCCCTGTGACCCATTAATGTCGATTTCCCTCCTGGTATATGTTTCTACGACCTCGCAGCACACCGTCTAGCTTCACTGTTACATCAGATGTGTAGAGGAAATCTCCTCAAATCATTAAACACCATTTCAAAAATATGTATACAAAGTCTTGTATTAATAATTAAAACATATCGATCTGCTTTTAGTACAGACTTTTAGCTGGTTGTGAGGTCTGTCTGTGTGGATTAGTATACATGACC